CGTTGATATGCCGTTGTAAATTGCTTGATGGAAAGCAGGTGTGTAGTCGGGGAGGGTGCACAGCTGATTGCAGCAGATGAGTGGAGGTTGAGCCGGGAGCCAGGAGTGAACACACAAACAACACAGACAGGGGGAAACAAACAAACACAAAGGAGACGGCTGGAGCAGTACAGCCACCACAGCGTTACCTAATGCAACTCCACACTACGCCTTACGGTGCCGTGTACCGGAGGGGAGAGAGAGAGAGCAGCGAGAGAGAGCAGGGGGGAGAGAGAGAAGTAATACGGTTTCCTGATAAAGCTGTGGAGAGTATGTGCTGCAGGGAGGTGGATGCACAACGCACCCAGGAACGAACGCTAGCTCCGGTCCTTTTTACTGTGGACTCGATGTCCTGACAGGCTGGTATTTGTGCAACCTGCACAAACACAATACTGCACCATGATTACAAATGGTGAAATACAATGTAAAACTACCGAAAAATACCAGCTCCTTAAAACACAACCGCTCTACTCAACGCAACTCTACTATACCCGCGGTCAGAGAGCGGAGATGTGTCCCCTGTGTGATGTAATATGACGCGTTTGACGTATGACCTTAAAAAAAAAGCCGTTTTTAAGAGCAGAGCTCAAAATTGCTCCTTTCCCTCTGAATTCCTGCCCTTATGTCGCGTAAAACATATCAAATCCCGCATTCACTTTTTTAATTGTAATTTTCAAGCAAGTTTAAGCATGAATGTAGAAAAAATAAAAACCTGCAAGATGCTCTTTAACCATTAAGTACTGCAGATAAACATCTCGGCCACTTAACTGTCGTGTTTTGATGACGCAGTCACTGGGACTTTCCGGAAACGTCACTCGGGGCTTCCGAGTTATCAAGCTAGCTCTACCTCTGTGTTCATGTCGTTAGACACTGTTAACGTCGCCTTGTTGCTCTGGAGTAAACTCAAAAAGAGACCATGAAAACGCCAAAGGCTCCTTACACCACCGAGAGGTTTGTATATTAAGACGTCGTTGTCGGGAGCGACGGGCAGACTGAAATTCGGAATGTCAACAACGCGGCCCCTCCTCGGGATGAGGCGAGTCACCGAGCTAACGTGCCAGGAGCAGCCGAGCAGCAGGCTCCCTGCGGCCGCCGCGAGGCAGCAGCTCGAGACCCCCACCGTAGACGAGTTTACGGTGCTGGAGGAGAAAGAAAATGAGCTGAAAGCTGCCAAGCCTCGAGTGGAGCAGGTTTTTAAAGTAACGTTCACCATTATCGGTCTTTTGGACCACACGGGACTGCCGCTGGGTAGCAAAACATCACGGCAGATATGGCTGCAGCTCATAGGAAACACAGACGACGTGTCGAAGGCAAAGGTGAGGTCCTGTTAGACTGTTTTGCTTCCCTTTTTTATCGATAAGTTAAGAGACCAATGTGGAAACGAGTTGTGTTTATCAAAGAAAAGACCGAATATCAACCAGGCTCGGTTGTCGCTGATGCGCAGGTGTCTCTCGGTGTCCGGGGATTGGCACCTGTCTCTGCTGTTCGTCACACACCAGCAAATGGTACTTGTATAAAGTCAGAACTGGGAATGGATGTCATATTAACATTTAGATGTGGCCTGAATATGCTTCTGTTTTGTTTGGTTTCCATGAAGCCTGCTGCTAAAACTTAACTTTGTATAAGCTGTTGCCACTAAGAAATATCAAATATAAGTTTCTTCCTCCTTAGCAACCACTTCCTCACTAACATAATCTCACCCACTCCTAAATGTAGATACATATTATATGAAAGGTGCTCATAGGTAGTCATATTTACCATTATGTTACAGTTACCACATTATTGATATTGTGGTGTCCAGTCAAGAATATCATATGGAGTCTATTTGATTTAGTCATTGTGTTGTCGCCTTGCGAAATAAGCCCCTGATGATGTCAAGAACAAGGTCACATATACCAGTTCAGTTTCCAAAATATGTTTATTGGTATTACTGCGTAGTGTTTGCCACAATGTAAATGTCAAGCAACAATAAACTGACAAAAGTTAGACAGTGACACATGCAAATAGTTGAGAATTGTGTTCTCTCTCTGGGAAACAAACATAATGTATTTTTTGCCTTTGTCCTTCAGAATACCATTTCAGCATTTTCAGAAATGTATGTCATCATGTTGTTGGGGGTAGGCCTAATTCACAGATATTACAAAAATACATTTATTTCACAATTATAGTATAATTCCTCTTAGATTGAGGATGCAAATATCAAGGGCAGTTTATTAAGCTAATGTCAGTTAGGCAACCATTATTTCTAAATCAATATTTCAACACCTCATTGGAGATTGACTCCTGGGTATTTCCTGGGAAGTTTAGCTGTTGCCTATTTACTGTGGAATCGCAGATGACACCTTAGTATGAACCTGGGATTGCAATAGCCATCTATGATGTAGTCATGTATACCCCTATTCCATAATGTTCTCATTGGTGCATTAAACACTTCATTTGATTTTTCTAAAGAAACAATCAAATCCTCATGAAAATTATTTATTTGCATTTGTTTATTTCATGAAAACCATTACAATTAAAGGGCTTGGATTTAAAACATCTAAAATTGTGTTGAACAATATTCAATTTTAAAGATGTCAGGTCTCAGTTGCATTCAGATATTATACACTACACTTACACATGCAAAAAAGCTGTTAGCATTGGTAGCATTTATTTATGCTAAGAGCATCAGTCCCATTTCAATTTAGGGCTTCTCAATTAATCGTATTTTAATCGCAATTACCATTTTGGCTTGCAACGATTACGAAAACAACGTCATCGAAATAAAACAATTTACATTTTTTAATTATTATTATTCTATTTATTCTTTTTTTAATTCTTTTTTTTATTGTTTTTTCAGTTGAATTATACTTAAAGTTCAGGGTAATCAACTGTTAAAAACATACTGTTCAATTTGTTTTCAATAAATGGATGTTTTCAAAGTAAATGAATAATCGTTTTTAATAATCGTGATATAAATTATTGACCCAAATAATCAAGATTATGATTTTTGCCATAATCGAGCAGCCCTACTTCATCTTGTGTCGTGAATATTATATTAGTGCATAAGTTGTTCCCCACTGTACCCAGCTGTTCCAAGCTCTGCCCTTCAACTGAGAATGTGATTTGGAAATAGTCAATTTATTGTAAGAATGACACCTGAGTCATAAATGGCTTCCTGCCTAAGAATACCCAGCTATGTTGTTGCTCCTCTAGTTGGTAAATCACTGCCATTTTTCCCATAATAAGCTTTCTTGCAATGTGGTTTCACCAGTTTGCATCTAATTTTAACCACAAAAAAAATCCTGCACCTGATTGGAAATAGCACCATTTATTATTTTCTCTTTCTGCAATCTGCCGCAGTTTTAAATAGATTTTAACAGAGATACCAATGACTTGCTGTCTCCTTGACTTTCGGAGGGTGCCAAACAATTTGTAACTTTCTGTATTTAGTTTATAAATTGAATCATAGCTTACACTCAAATAGTTTGTACTTATTATGTCATAGTTTCCTTTTTAGTTTAATTAGGCTTTGACTACACAGAAGGAGAGTTCTGTACAATTACTTTGGTTTGATGGTTTTAAGCATAACCTATGCTAAAGCGTAGCCACTCCTTTTTAATATAAATCGTAATAAATGGTGAAAATGGTTTTGGGCAACCAGTGCCCAAATGGTCCCAGGCCGGATTCCAACCCAGTCCTCTGCATGGGGACCAAGCTCCAGTGCAACCCTAACTCAAAGATATTGTGTTATTAAACATCACAAAAATAACACAAGCAGAGTTTTGTTCTAATAATGTAAACTTGATACCATGTTTTTATTTGTAATTGTATTTCAAGTTTAAGTGCCAGCAGCTACAATATCTCAGCTCATTTGGCAAAGCGCCATACCTACTGGAAGATCTTATCTATTGTTTTGATGCTGGAAGCCTAACCCAAATATTTGTACGCTGGTTCTCTTTCTGCCCCGCTGTGTCATTGTTGAGTCATTTTACATTCTCAGTATCAGCTTTTACACTTAACGCTTAAGAACTCTGACACAGTATCCGTAAGGAAGTTACTGCGCCCACCTGCAGCTGACTCATCCGGACCTTTCCCAGAGCCAGAAGATTCCCTGAATCACCGACAAGTGTTTCGTTTCAGCACGTGTCAGTGCTGCTTCTCTACAGTAACACACTGTTGTAGACTCATGAACGAAGAAGGACATTTTGACTCTAGCTCAGTAATGATTATGTTTATTTAATTTTGCTGTGCTTTATTTGGACTTTTGCAGAAATCATAGATATTTAGAAGCAGTTGCCACTAAAAAACTTTGCATTTTATGACTCTTGAGATCCCAGTTTACCTTGTAGTTTCTACCAAATCCTTTTTAAAAAGCAAATGGGAAAGGTGTACGTTCATAATACAAATAAATAATACAATCTTATCAATTTTTTTTTTCTACTTGTTTTGGCAGGAATATGTTCGAGGACTCTGTGACCCAGAACTACAAAAAGAAGAGAGGTACCCGGTGGACATGCACTGTATTTTTGCCGGGGCCCGGGGCCTCTTCCTCGACAGGCTCATCCGGGACACCAGTGCTGAAGTGGTGGTGCCCGAGCCGGGCCGCCTGCGTCTGTTGGGCCGGGCGGAACCCGTAGTCATGGCGCAGAGCCGGATTCAGCAGTTTGTAGCACTATTCCTGGTGAGGGCACTTGTCATCTGTGGGCATACACAATGATACAATGCAAGTCTAGAAGTCTAGTCCGTAACTCTAGTAATTGTACAGTCTCTTTTTAAAAAATCTGTGTGTTTGTGGTGTTTAACAGGAAAAGCGAAGTCTACCGAGTGACAGAGAGCCGGCAGTGAAACGAGCGTTCAAGTCCTTCGTCGAGGAAAGAGATGACAAGTACACTATGGAGCTTCTTCTGCTGCCCAGTGCCCTGAAGGAAGAGCTCCTGGGACTGGCTCACAGCACCACAAACACAAACACATCTGCCCTGGTTAGTATATACATTTCTATTCTAAATCACCGAAAAACAAGGAAATAGCCTAGGCTAGAAATGTATTCCTATCAAATAGTTATGGACAGTGCAGTTGGCAGAATACACGCATGATGACAAGTTTGTGCAGACCACGATAATGACGTTGTATATGCACGTTAAAGAGAGAGAGCAAACAATAAAAATACGTAAATTGCATTAAATCAAGGAGGCAATTAAAAGCACCCTGCAAACTATTATCCAATGAGCATATTTCCAGCACTTAAACACTTTCAATAACAGCCCATACCGCCGTTCAAGTCCCCCTATCATGATGAATGAAAACAATCTGCGTGTTGATGGAATGTACTTTCTTTCTATTGACGAACACGTCCTCATCTTTTGATGGCGCAATTATTTTTATGTGCGTCCCGTCAATAGCACCGGGCATACCTGCAATTGCCTGCATTGCCATGAAGTTGGCTTTGATCCTGTGTAGTTGTTGATTGTCCAAAGGAAACCGGATAAACTGTTGGATGATATGTGGTCTAGAGAGCGCGTTGATGGTTTGGTTTATGGCACAGCTGACTGATGGTTGCGATATTCCTAAATCGTCGGCATTGCAAAGTTGCATTTTCCCTGTTGCTAAATATCGTAGTGTTGCCAAACATTTTATTTCCGGACTAATCGGGTTATTCCTGTTAGTCGGGGATGTTATTGCATCCCGCACTAATTCCACAACAAGTTTGATACCCTCACGATTTAGCCTATATCTCTTGATCAATTCACAGTCTTCCATTGTCTCCAAAACATTTCGTCTCGCAGCCATTTTCAGATTCTTTGTGAATAGGTCTTACTGAGTTAGGAGTCCTCTCGAGGACCTTTAAGCTCTCCCAGACTTAGGTGCTACTTTTAGGCCTAAAATACTTTGTGAATTGCTCTTAGTGAATAAAATTAGGAGTCCTAAATTTAAGACTGACACGCCCATTATGCTTAGGAGTTCTCCTAAATTCGCCAGTTAGGAGCTACTTTTAGCCCTAAAATCCTTTGTGAATACGGCCCAGGTGTTTATCAGTATGTAGTGTCTCTACATGTCTCCATGCTTTAATGTTCAAAAGGCTCTTTATTGTTCTCATACTGTCTGTGCTGCAGCACCTCTTTTCACCCTCTGTCTGAAACCAGAGCCCAGTCTGCTCTGATTGGTTAGCTGGCAGGCTCTGTTGTGATTGGTCAACCGCTTAGAATTGTCCCGCCCCTTAGGAGTGCTAACCACATGTCAGTAAAATGAAAAGTAAACAAAGGAGTCCATCCTTTAAAAGGCTGTTATCAAGAGACTAGATCCCAAATTGTGAAATGATTATGCTACTACTCTAAA